TATGACATTTTTTATACGTAAGAAAATATTTTATAACATTTTCATTTGTTTTATTGTATTTGCAAAAATGATATAAATAAAATCTTTTTAGATATAAATGCATAGAATGTATTTAGATCATGAAAAATATAAAAGGGAGCAATATATTATAGTTTTTACTCAACATGAAGGTTTAGAACATCAACATATAAATTATAGTAATGAACGTATTAGAATGTTTGCTCAGCAAGATTTTTTGATAAAAAAATTCATATCTTTATATTTCTTTTAATTGTGGAGTAAAAATTATAAAAGGTTATTTATTAATTGCATCAGTAGAAAAATATAAGCCAATGCTAAATTTAAAAAATTCTGTAGTAGCAAAGTCTATTGATGATATTGCAGAAACTATATATAACAGTAATACTTTAGATTAAAAATTTAAAAAGAAGTTTTTTCTACATCTTATCTAATAATGGAATTTTAAATACAATAACATCCAGTCCAGATTTAATTTTCTTAAGTAATAAATCTAAAATAGAACAATTTTAATCTAAATTAGTGAATCTCAAAGAGATAAAGACTTTGTTAAATCTATATTATCAGATCTAGAAGAATTAGATCCAGAAAAATTTAGTTAACGAGGTCGAGTCTAATAAAAACAAAGCTAGATCATTTAAATTTACTGGATCTACTCATTATAAAATTGATATAAAATAATTTTTTAAATTATAAAAAAAAAAAAATTTCTTTTAAAATAATTTAAAAGAAATTTTTCTTTATAAAAAGACGGAATTTAATAATATGGATTTTAAAAATAAAGAATATAAAAGTATTTACCCAGATCTCCCAACTGCACCAACTTAAATTCAAGATCATGTATATAGATTACAAAAGATTAGTGAGATTCAAAAAGAAATAGAATGTGAAAGAGAAAGAAGTGCTATCTTGAGTAAAAAGCTTCATAGGGCTGTAAAAATAATTTCAGCAGCTGATAACACATTATTAGCAAGTATTATTGCTTTAGGAGCTATTGGAGTCGGTTTTTTAGCAGCTATATTTTCCGCTCCAGTAGCTATTGCATGTGAAGGTGTAGCATTAGATGCAGGACTAGTGTCATTAATAGGTTCACAAGTGAGTAAAAAATTAAACTTAAAAGCAGAAAAGCATAAAAATATTAAAGTGATATGTGATACAAAACTAAATTCTGTAAGTGAAAAGATTTCTAAAGCATTAATAGATGGTTTTATTGATGATAATGAATATGAAAATATACTTAAAGAGCTTGAAAAGTTTCGAGTCATGCTTGAACAAATTAGAACAAAATCTAAAAGTGAACTTGATGAACAAACAAAAGAATCATTAATTAACAACGGTAGAGAAGAGGCTATAAAAATATTAGAAAATAGGTTTGGAAAGAAACAAAATATAAGTAAAATAAATATTAAGTAAAAACATAAAACATGTTCATGAAAAACACAAAACACGTTTTTGTATTAAAAAAACTATTGCGTAGATAAAATGCCATTTTTTAAAATTACAAATCCTCAATTAAGAAAGAAACTAGTGAAAGAACGTAAAAGATTAAGAAAAGAAATATATCAGGACTTTATAAATGAAAATTTAGGTGATGATTCTTTAAGACTGACTTGACAAAATTCTACAAGCCAATAATTGATAGTGAGTCAGGTATAAAAGAAAACTTATCTAAATTAGAAGAAAAAGCTAATAATTCAGCGCTTACTTTTTCAACTGCTTATCCTAGAACAACAGCTGAGCCTGAAACAAAAGCAATAAAGATGTATATAACTCCTAAAGATGCATATAACTCATAATGAAAAATTGCAATAAATTATCTAAAGTTGTATACTACTAATAAAAAGACAACAGATACTATATTTGAAATACATTATTAATTTTATCTCGGTAAAAAACCAATAGATATTGAAGGTGAAGATATGTCTATTGATAGTAAAACATACATTGAAACTCAAAGTCTTTGGGAACAAATAACAAAGCTTACATGATAAAAATTTATATAATGCAAACGATCTTGAAAATTATAAAAATATATTAAAAAAAAAAGATGCAATTCGTTCAGATAAAAACTCAAACAGACCAAGATCATTAAGGGGTTATGAATACAATTATATAATAAAGCCAATTTGAGAAGAGGAGACTGAAAAATCTGTAAAAGGAGTAATAATTCTTCCTAGTGATCCAAATGCGCTAACTGAAATGCTTCTATTACGTATAGCTGCGTGGAAAGCAGGTAATACCGTAGCTAGAAATGAAGCTGTTTCAATTTGTGATGAATTATTACGTCAGGGTAAGATTATTGATGAAGATTATAAAAAAATACACAACATATTAAGAATAAAATTAAAAAAATATATAGTAAATAAAACGCTAATTGTAAATAATAAAAGATATATTAAGAAATATGTCATTGTTGGAAGTGGAATATTTGATAGCATTAGAGATCTAGCTAGATGAGTAATATCTTCAGATGTAACTAAAGTATCATCTGCTATGATAAAAAGATTAGCTTCATTTAAGATTTAGATGTCGAAGAGATTAAAAAACTTCTAATCTAAGAATATATTTAAAAAAATATATAGTAAATAAAATGCTAATTGTAAATAATAAGAGATTTGGGAAGAAATATTTCATTGGTGAAAGTGGAATATTTTTTTCTATGAGAAATATGTTTTAAAGACAAGCTATTACTGACGCATTAAAAGCATCGCGAGCTTTAACTAGTAAAGCAGCTTCTAGTGACTTAGGAAAAAGTGCAATATCAACTGCAAAATCAGCAGGAAAAGAACTTGCTACATCTGCAATTAATACTGCTAAAAATCTAGCAGTAGACAAAGAAAAACAATAAATTCAAAAAGCATCTAAACTTACACCTGAAAGTTAACAAATTCTATCAAATTTGTTTGAATCTAGAGCTAATGAAGTAACAACACATATAAATTAATTAATGATGGGATCAGCAATAACTAATCGTAGAAAAACTAAAAAAAAACATCTCAAATGAGAATGCAATCAGAATACAAGATTTAGTTAGAAAAGGTAAAGGTCTTAGATTAGCGTAGATTTCTGCGAGATTTAATTTATAAACAATTTAAAAAATGATTTAAAAAATTATCTTACATAAATAAAAAAATGCCAAATTCTGATATATTAAATTTTACAGAAAAACCAATTATTGATGAAAGCATTCAAAAATATGATTTCCGAAAATATAAATACAGTATTTGGTACACATTTAGATACTTCTGGAGAAATAAGAATTACTATTGAACAGCAAGGTTTATTTTTATACCCATTTGAAGCTTATATACAAGTTGATGGAAGACTTTTTAAAGCTGATGGAACCGCTTTGGCTAATAAAGATGCAGTTTCACTTACACACAATGGTATTATGCACTTGTTTTCTGGAATAACTTATGTTATTCCAGAAAATATTGGAATTAGTATTTGATGAAAAAAGATTAGAATTAAGAAAATTACAAGAATTAAAATTAAAACATTATGTGTTAAATGAAAGAATATAAGATTTGAAGAAGAAGTGTTAGAAGATTTAAAAGAAAGATTTAATTTAAGATCAAAATTAGTATTTGATGGAGAAAGAAGTAAAGAATTAAAATTAAAAGTAAAATTAGATGTGTATGGATAAAAAGAAGAAGAATCTGAAGAAATAATAGAAATGTTAAAAAGAATAATAAAAGAGATACGTAAAAATATTAGAAAATTATACAAAGGTACGTATTTAGAGTTAGAAGAATTAAAAGAAAGAATAGAAGTAATATTAGAATCAAAAAGAAAAAAAGTTAAAATTAGTATTATAATCACAAGATCTAGGCTTCATTGAAAAGATTTAAAAATACAATAATTTTAAAAATATACAAGAAAAAATTGAATAACTTATTATATAGATATACAAAGAAGTATTTAATAAATCTATTGAAAGAGAATAACATTTCAAAAACATCTAACAATCTTTTTTCATTAGTTATTGTGAAGCCGTGAACCTTAGTCATATGCGGACAAATAGGAACAATGTTTTGATATATATAAACATACGGGGCTATAAAAAATGTATATTAAAGATGGCTTACTTATAAGAATATATATATTTAAGTGTAGTACAGTGTTTTATTAACGACACAACAATGGCGCTACGAGTAAGGGACGATTTGACTTTAGTTGACCCAGATAATGCAGAAGCATGGATTAGATGCTTTTCAGCTTCCGCACGTTCAAAGAAATTAAAAGATGAGATAAACGGTAGCTACGAGATAACAGATTTATTTATGGCAAAAGCAGGGATTGAAGCAGTTAAAAAGATTTTTCTTATGGTATATCCAAAAGAATTAGAAAATATGATGTTCGATGATATTAAAACTGTTGTTATGTCCCATTTGAGACCTCAAAAACGACTAATTATTGCTGAAAGAGTTCGATTTTTAGCAATAAAACAGCAAAACAATGAAAACATCGTATCATATGCACAAAGATTACGCGAAGCTTCACGCTTTTGCAACTTCTAAAAATTGGGAAGAGATGGCCAAAGTGCGGAATATGATTTGATTCAAATGAGATTGATTGATGGTCTCCAATCTTCTGATCAGAGAGTTAAAGCTCTAGAAATGATACAGAGTGGAGAATCGCCTAAACTAGGAGCATGTATTGATTTTATCAGGCAACTGGAGCAAATATCCTGTTTTAGTATACAAAACAACATCGAAAACAGCATAGACCTTCCTTCAGTTAATTACATTGATAAAAATAAAGAAAGAATGATTAAATGCAAGTATTGTGGCCTTCAACACCCACCTAGGAAATGCCCAGCATTTGGGAAGAGTTGTAAAAAATGTGGAAAGCTGAACCACTTTAAAAACGTATGCAAAGCAAACACTAAATATGAAAATATAGAAATAGAGAAAAATAGAGAACGATGATGCTGTATTCCATTAACATGAATTACACAAACATGTGTGTATTCCATTAACATGAATTACACAAACTCAGAGATTAGTGTAAAAATTAATGACTACAATATAAAAATGCAAGTTGACACCGGAAGTCAAGTCACAATTATTCCAAAAAATTTTTGGGAACTAATGTCTAAACCGAAATTACAAAAATGCTACCTTCGCCTGAAACAGTTTGATGGCACAGTTATAAAAGTCCTAGGCGAATTTGAGGCAACTTTGGAAACCGAATCAAAAATGAATATCGTACGAATTATTGTTGCAGACTGTACAAAAAATCATGGTCTAATTGGTATGGATGTATTAAATATCAACGCCACAAAATTAGTAAATAGTATAGAACCTCTTGTTCATGGGCGTTTAATTAATTACAAAGCAAATATTTTGTTAAAAAACGGCGTACAACCAACTTATTTTGAAGCTTGACCTCTTCCTATCCATATAAGACCACTAGTGGTAGATAAACTTAATGGAATGATACAGCAAGGGTTGCTTCAAAGGGTTCCTCCTGGTGGAAGCAGATGGGCTTCACCGCTTGTGGTTGTTAGAAAAACAGACGGAGATTTACGCATTTGTGCGGATTACAAAATAGGTGTTAACCAAAAAATATGCTCAAACTCATATCCCATCCCAAACATTGAGACCGTATTTCATAAAATGGCAGGGATGAAATATTTTGCTAAAATTGATCTCAAAGGAGCTTATCATCAAATTGAGATGGACAAAGAGGCACAAGAAATAACAACAGTTAATACCCCAATTGGATTATTAAGATGGACCTGTTTACCTTTCGGAATTAAGACTGCAAGTGCGATATTTCAAAGAGCGATAGAATCTGTTGTTGGCGATAATATTCCCAATATGATTATATTTCAAGACGATATATGTGTCGGTGCTAAAAATGCTGAAGAACTCAAATCGAATTTAAACAAAATATTGAGCAAATTGTAGGAATCGGGAATGAGCATAAATAAACGAAAGTCAGTGAATGAAACAAAAAGTCTTTCATTTTTAGGATATGAACTGTCAGAAAAAGGAGTTACCCCAGATCGTAATTTAGTCAGCAAAATACTTGGAATAAGTCCTTCTAATAATAAAAAGGAACTCGAGTCATTTATAGGATTAATAAACTTTTATGGTCGACACATTGATAAATAGGCTGAAAAAATTTTACCTTTAAACAATTTAAGACAGAAAGCAGTTACATTCGAATGGAGGAAGGAGCATCAACAGGCATTTGAATTGCTAAAAAGAAACCTTTGTGAAGAACCCGTAGTGAAGGTTTATGACATCAACCAAGATCTAGAGTTAACAACAGATGGTAGCGAGAAAGCTATATCTGGAATACTTTCACAGAATGGCCATCCGGTATTGTATCTCTCACGAACTTTATCAGACGCTGAGACAAGATATTCTAATATTGAGAGAGAAGCTTTAGCTATTGTATGGTCTGCTCACAGAGCTAGGCATTTTCTGTTGGGTAGAAAATTCAAATTAATATCAGATCACAGGCCATTAGAATTTATATTTGATAGTAACAAAGATTTGCCCAAAGTCACATCCGCTAGAATTTTAAGATGGGCCATACAAATGATGGCATTTGACTACGAAATAAGCTACAAGAAGGGAGAAAACATTCCTCATGCTGACGCATTATCGAGATTGTCCTTTCTACCACAAGATGAAGAGAAAGACCAAGAAACATTTATACACTTAGTCGAGTCAGATATAGTGAACCTTGAGCAAATAATAAAAGAAACAGAAAATGATAGGGTATTGATGGACATCAAAACCAGAATTAGGAAGAATAAATGGAGCAGATGCTCGGTAACAGAAAGACCCTATAAATCTATTAGGAATAAAATGACTATCGAAAAAGGAATTGTGTGTAATGGTGACCTCATTGTACCTCCTAAGACAATGAGAAAGATCTTCATCAAATCAATCCATGATGATATACATTGTGGCATAATGCAAACGCGATGTAGATTAAAATTAGAAGCCTGGTGGCCTGGCTACTTTCAAGATGTTGAAAAATATGTGAAAAAATGCAGTAGTGATAAATCTGATATGTCCGAACTACATGTTACTAAAGAAGAACCTAACCAGAATCGAAGAAGTACTCGGTCGACATGGGGGCAAAAGCCAATACGTTTCAGGGATGTGAAGCCGTGAACCTTAGTCATATGCGGACAAATAGGAGCAATGTTTTGATATACATAAACATACGGGGCTATAAAAAATGTAGATTAAAGATGGCTTACTTATAAGAATATATATATTTAAGTGTAGTACAGTGTTTTATTAACGACACAACAGTTATGATTGGGATGGGTAATGGTGTCGTTGATAAAGAGTCAGTATTATCAGATATATCTAATGTACAACCTAAAAAACCGGTTGGAAGACCTAGAATTCACCCAATAAAAGAAAAAATTAAAAAAGTTAAAATAAAAGTAGAAAAAAAACCAGTTGGAAGACCTAGGAATCACCCAATTAAAAAAAAAAAAGATTATATAGATCCAAAATTTAAAAGATTAAGAACAATTAAAAAAGATCCAGTGTCTATTAAATTGACTAACATTGAAACAGGAGAAATGAAAATATATAAATCATTACATAAATATATGAAAAAGACAAAACATGGATGGGATTATATAGATTCACGACATGGAAAAATTAAAGATGGTATTAAAGTTGAAACATTAAATTCTAAGAAATTTCTGAAAAAATGGTATTATAGAACCAAATAGAGAATAATCTTGTTAAAATATAGTTTTTATAGATATTTATCTATAAAAGTATTGACAAGGTTTTTAATTATTTACAGAAATTATTTATTAAAAAATAAAAAAATTGAAATGATATAAATAAGCTATTTGCATATATAAAAATGGAAAACAAAACTCTCAGAGAATTGAAACAAATCGCAAAAAAGCGAAAAATAAAATATTGTTATAAAATGAGACAAAAAGATCTTATGAGAGTGTTAGATCTCAAATAGCAAAATATTTTAGACGAACCGATTCCAGAACACATTACACAAAATACTTTAACACCAACTCAGTATGATACAATTAGTAGGTATATTAATATTATTTATGATAAAGTACTAGAAATTATTAATAAAAAAGTGAAAGTAATTAATGATGAAGTGAAAGAAATTGCTAATTCGGTTATGGCATATGTTGCAGAACCCAATAAAAAGGCAGCTAATAAAAAAATTAACGAATAAAAATCTACAGTTTTTAATTTGTATAATAGATTTGGAATTAGAAAACAAATAGAATTAATATTAACACAATCATCAATTAAAAATGTAACTAAACAATTTTCAGCTGAAGGTGTTGCAGGATATGATGCTTTATCATTTATGAAATCACTTAAAAATAGTGTCATTAAAATACTAAATGGTAATAAGGGATCAAAGATCTATATCGTCCTTTTTTGTGAAATGAAGTGTGTTGATCTTAAAACAGGAGAAACTGTTATAACAACTACCACATTTTCAACAATATCAGAAGTTGTATTAGAATAAACAGACTTAAATGAATTCTATGAAAGAGCTGAACAGAAAATTTTGGAATTCTTATCCACAATTTAATTTAAAAATTAGGATCAAGTTGGAGATTTGTTTCATTTAAAAAAATGGATATAAATATGATTGAATATACACCTATTAATGGTAGATCCAATATTCCACTTGATAAAAATTTGTCAACAAAAAAAAACAATAATTAATATGAAAATAAAGATAATGAGTTTTTTAAGTGGTGTGTTGCTCAATTTTTAAATCTTAAAGATAAAAATTCTGAAAGAATAATTAAGATCTTAAAGAACAAGCTGAGAAATTAAATTGTGGAAAAATAGATATTTCAGTATCATTAAACCAGATTACACAATTTGAGAAAAATAATAAAGATATAAGCGTAAATGTATTTGGATACGAGAATTTATCAGTTTACCCTTTACGTATATCTGATAATAAAAACAGTTTACATCAAATAGACTTGTTACTCATTTCAAATGGCGATACTAACCATTATCGCGTAACAAAAAGTTTAAGTATTTTACTCTCATCACAAAAATCTAATAACAAACATACTATGCTTATTGTCGAAATTGTTTATTAGGATTTATTCTGAGGAATCTTTGTCCAATTAACATTGTACACCCAATCCAAATGACTCCTATACAAAACAATATCAAGGACATACTCCACGTTTATTTTGTTATTATATTAAATGTTTTAATAAAAGTATTTATCACATCAGTCCAGCCACATTTACTGCAAGTAGTAAAACAGATGATGTTGCACAAGTTTTTGTTGATAGATTAGAAGAAGATATAAAGAAAATATATCATAAATAATTAAAATTTCCAAAAAAGATGATATTTACTAATGAAGACAAAAATAATTTTAATAGTGCAAAAGTATGCCAAATTTGTGAAGAATTACTGAAAGAGGATAGAGCACGCGATCATTGTCATATTACTGGTAAATATAGAGGTGCTGCTCATAATGATTGTAACTTACAATTTAAAATTTCAAAATTCATTCCAGTCCTATTTCATAATTTATCTGGTTATGATTCTCACTTGTTCATAAAAAAATTGTCAGGACAAGGAAGAAAATTAAATTGTATACCTAACAATGAAGAAAAATATATTAGTTTTTCTAAAGAAATTAAAGTTAATGAGTTTACTAAAAATGGCAAGGCTATTGAAGTTAAATAACAACTCCTTTTCGTTGATAGTTATAGATTTATGGCTTCTAGTTTAGATAGCTTATCAAAGAAATTAACAAAAAAGCAATGTAAAAATATTAGAAAATACTGTTCTGGAAAGAAATTAGATTTATTACTAAAATAAGTAAACCACTACCAACAGATGGTTTTAAATGGATGAGTAAAGAAGAGTTGAAAATTTGGAAATCTGTTTCATGTATATTAGAAGTAGATTTAGATTATCCTCTAAAATTTGCATGATGCTCATAATGATTATCCACTTGCTCCTGAGAGATTAACTATCAACAAAGTTGAAAAATTACTACCTAATTAAATCATAAGAAAAAATTATATCATTCACTATGAAAACTTGAAATTATGTGAAAGATTAGGATTGAAATTGACTAAAAATTACAGAGGTATAAAGTTTAAATGTGAATACATTGAACTCAATTGAAATCTAAGAACTAAAGCAACAAATGATTTTGAAAAAGACTTTTTTAAACTCATGAATAATTCATTATTTGGAAAAACAATGGAGAATATTGATAACAGAGTTGATGTTAGTTAAGTCACAAAAAGAGAAGAAGCTGTTAAATTAGCATCTAAACCTAACTATGAAAGTAGAACTATATTTGATGAAAACTTGATAGCTATCCATATGAAAAGAACAAAATTAGTTTATAATAAACCCATTTACTTGAGTATGTGCATTTTAGATTTGAGTAAGTTATTAATGTACGAATTTCACTATGACTACAAAAAAAAAAATATTCAGATAAAGCTAAACTATTATTCACAGACACAGATTCTTTAGCGTATAAAATAAAAATAAAAGACTTTTATGAAGATATTGCAAATGATATTGAAAGAAAATTTGATACAAGTAAATTTAATCCAAAACATCCAGCTGTTCAAAATGGATTTAAAGTAGGTCTGAACAACTAAATTCACTTTAGTAAATCTAAAATATTTAAGAAAAAAACTGTATAAATAAAAATTTATTTATATAAAAATGAGTTTAGTTGATAAATTCAGTGGCGCTACAATTAACGGCTTATATGTTATCAATGAACTTGAAGCAAATACTAAATAATTAGAACAGATGGTCAAAATAAAACAAATACTCACATTGATTTAAATTTAAATAAATTATTCAATGTAGCAAATCCTACTAATCCTCAAGATGCTGCCACAAAAAATTATGTAGATAATAATACACAA